AAATTGAGAGGAATCAGGAGGTTGTGGCATGTGGGAGCGAAAGAAGTGAGTCAGATAGAGCGAAAGAAAGTGTAGAAAGAAAAGTGAAAGAGCCGAGATTATCGGTGTGAAGAAAGAAGGTGGAGGGAGAAAGAGAGAGAAAGAAAGAGGACCACTTTGCGACCATCATTTCCATGCCCCATTCATTCCCTCGTTTACTCCTTTTTTTTCCATTTATATATATTCTTTTATATATTTTTTATGTTAAAAGTTGGGAACCTCTTTATTTTCTACCAATCCAAATTTGATATATAAGTCTTTTACAGTGTTCTTCACATTTTATGTTATACTACAGATAGTGAAACATGGGTTAAATTTTAATTAATTTTGTAATGTGTATCATCACTTCACATATTTCCATAACCGATTATTTATATCTGATATTTTTTTAACTTTTTCTTCCAATGTTCTAAATAGTTGTAGTGAATACATTCAAAAGAGATGTTGGAGTAGGTGTCCCTTAGTTTCTCAACACTCAATGGTTTTATGATCCTAGGAAGCTAACTGTTGGTTCCATTTTATGGTCTTCAAATTCACATTGTTGGGAGCGTTTTAATTTTTTTATCCCAAAATGGATAATACTATACTTGTATTATGGATATGATATGAGCCATTCTAGTATTCTTCTTCATCAGCATAAAGATACAACCTTTATATTTTGGGTTGATGATTATGTAGTGTGGCAAAACAACATCCAATGACACTAGGAATTCTCCAAACCCTGGCATTGATACTCTTTTGTTCAGACATCATTTTCTTTAATCTTTCCTTCTTGCAATGTTTCCACTGACTGAAAAGAAGTCTAGAAAAGGTGTTGGGTCCCCTTAATTCTAAGAGGGTAATGGAGGATTATTAATATGGTATTATAATAATAATGGAAAAATTATATAAAAAAAATATGTACAACAGGTATATAAACTTTATTAGATACAGATTTTAATCAGAGTTGGAAAGCACTTCATTTCTCTCCTTTTCATCTCACTGTTATTTGTTACCAAACTAAGGTGCTTTTCCTTTAACAGCAGAGATCTTAATTTTTAAGAATTATATTTTCACCTGTTAATATTATATAATTATTTACTTTACAAATTCAATTATCAGAAATTATTGTTGGTGGCGGATACCAAATATTCTGGGATCCTTTCCACTCCTCGGGTCTGATTCAGTGATTATCAGTCTAATCCCAAACTTTAATGTTTCAACCACAATTAATGTTGCATAATAAAAAGAGACAACATCCGGTAAGAAAAGAAAGAAAATGAAAAGATCACTTGATACTAAATATGTGACATGATATTAAAAGAACTTAATTAATTTCAATTATTCCGTACAGAGATTTGAAACATAGCATTGCAAAGTTACTGGATTAGAAAAATAACTCGATCTAAGTTCTTTAAATTTGATAATTCTAACCGTCTGATTCTTGACACTTTTAAAAGACATTAACTATACTTTCCTCTTATTTTCAATTTTTTTAAATTGTCCAATATTGCAATCTCAATATGCTTATAAATTGGAACGATAAAAGAAACAAAATGTTTGTTTAATTAAATCATCATCATACAATGAATATTAGTAGTAGTTTTATCTATATTAGCCATTTGTTTTCTCTTTTGCTTTCTTTAACATTTATGTACAATAAAGACACAAAAATAGAACTTAAGAGTTAAGATTTCATCTATCTGATTGCGTACCCTCTTCGCTTTTCTATACATACACGAGTCCGTCTTTCTTTCACAGAAAAGGTAGTCTTTACAATAATATTAAGTTAAACTTATTATAAGCTATACTCGGTTGCATTCTTAATTGCCCATGTTATAAAAAAAATTCTGCACAGTAGTAGAAATGTAACAAACTCCATATAAAAATTTTATCACCGTAGTTTTATACATCACATGTCACATCTCAAAATATACAACGTGTATATATAATAAAGATGTCATCAGATTATAATAATAGAAAACAGTTAGAAACATATATCAGAGTATTAGGATTACAATCATCCTTAAAATACTAGGAAGTGAAGCTCATGTACTCAAGTCTGCCAACATACCATGGGCTATACATATTACAGTTTTTAAAATGCAAAAGTTAAAGTAAGGAGATCCTAATGGTACTAGGATTCAGCGTTATCTTCCTCCAATGTTTGCTCTAGGAGCATCTCCTCGCCATCTGCTCTCATCCAAGTGGATGATCATCGCAAGAGAAAACATACCCAAACATAGCACGAACACAACAAGCAAGGGTGAGCTAATTATATAAAATAAAACATACAATATGACAATATGCATGCAAGAGTTAACTTCAATCAAGCAAGAAAAACACGCATCCTAACATGTTGAATACTAGACTTGACTCGTCCGGACTTTAGAATGATAGTCGAGCTATGACGGGTCTTGCACTCGTGGTGGCTTATGAAACTTGGGTTCCCCCACCCTACCACACTCACGAGGTTAGCCTGTTCCGGGCCTTGAGGCATACTAGAAGCCCCCAAGACTAAGACCTCCTACTACTCCTCACCACATGGTTCAATCCTCTCTACGTGAGAAGAAAGACCATTGGAGTTTCAGGATGACCCCAAGACTGAGCTCCTACTTTCATTCTAAACAACTAAGGGCACCACCATGGATCTTCTCCTTGAAGATCATGGAATTACGTCCATCAACCATACTTTTTAAAACCACATACTTTGAGTCACCAATCATACCATTGAATCACACACACTTTCACTTTAACAGTATACAACATGTTTGAATCACATCATACGATATAATTTGCTCCAACACATACTTCACAAACCATACAACATTCAACTTTAAGTGAAACAATATAAAAGAGAAAATAGAGAGTAAAACCCTGAACATTTCGCACAGCTCACCACCCTCGCAAGGCGAAATTGGCGCTATTCTCATAGCGCATCCTCCCAGCTCGCCTTGCGAATTAAGTCTAAATAAGTGTCAGACTTTGGGTCCCTCGCATAGCGCATCCAGGTCGCTATGCGAGAACCCAGACAAAGACCAACCCCCCTAAAACTCTCGTTATGCGCCCTACTCGCCTTTCGAATTAAATGGGCAGTGGTTCCAGACCACCACCAGTCGCATAGCGACAAGATTCGCTAGGCGAATCCACAAACAGAGAGCAACACCCTCTGGTCATTCGCACAGTGCACCAACTCGCACAACGAATGACTCAAACAGTGAGCACTCTCTATAGGGTCTCGCTATGCGAGACAGTTCGCATAGCGACTCTGCATCATCTGTAGAACGCAAATTCTATAGAATCACACACTCACACCAGCCCTTACCATTTCTAGGCCTCTTGGCCAACTTCTAAGACCTCCAATTCGTGTATTAAGCTCAATTACACCTGTCTAGATGATCCTAACCCTTTATATTACTAATCTAAAGTGATTAAGATCAAGTTGTCTTTTAAAACATCAACTTCTATACTTAAGGACCCAATTTCAATTTTACTACTTCTAACATGTTCTAGTCTAGTTTTATGATCCTAACAAGTCACAATTGACTTGCCTAAGATGTCCCGACAGCCCAAATGTGCCCAGAACCCCTACTTCCCAAAATTACTACCTCACTTCCTCTCCAGGGACCCAAAACTCTACTGGTTTACTCAAAACAGTGCATACTGATCTTACCTTCCACTTGAATACCCCTTCAAAAGAACACATACATCCAACATACCCAATTTCAGATATTCACTTCATGCAAATAATTACACAGTCACTAATTCCAGCATCACAGATTATACAATCAAGTTCATATAATGCATCATACCCAAGCAAATAAAATACCACTCCAAACATCATACCAAGTCAGAATCATAACATACATATGCCTCATACAAACAATGCAAAGATGTATTTCTAGCTCCCCTTACATTGGTGGTTACAAGTACAACACTTTAGAAAAAGCCCCGAAACAGTAACCTTCGCACAAAAACAAGTTCCACAGAATCTACAAACCACCAAGTTGGGGTAGAGTACCGCTCTTAGAGCTAGAATGAACAAGGAAACAAAAAGGAAAAAGCTACCAGCTGCATGCAACCAGTAAAGTGGCATGCCCTAGATTCAAGAGAGATGGAAAGACAGAAAAGAATGCCTTACCCGTCCAAAACGGAAACTAGTCGGATGGATGGGAAGCTCTCAACTTCGTGAACGAAAGAACACCACCTATTTGAAAATGCAACGGTTGAAATTTGTGAATGGGTAGAGAGAAGGCAGAGCAAGAAGAAAAAGAACAGAGGTTAGAGAGAGAAAGAAAAGTTGACTAATGAACTTAGATTGGAAAAAGTTCATTCTAAGATCATGGTGTCCTTAGTTTTACTGACCTAACTGCCCCAACATAAAACCCAAAAGCCCTATATTTTTTTTTCAGGCCCTTACATCACATAAATTAATATCTTCATATTAAAGTTCGATGCAACATATAAAAACTTTAATATTTATCTAGTTTAATATTGATACACAAGTTTAATAAAAAAAAAGCCATTTATTTAAAATTTATAGAAAGAGAATCATAAAAAAATACATTCCAATCCAAATCATGGTCAAGTATTATGATATGGATAAAGCTACTATCTTGCAAGCTAATTTTATATGATTAAATTATATTTATTGTTCACTTATTATTATATTATGTCATGTATATCTTATTTTAGCTAAATTTATTATTTGTTAAATACATTGTTTCTATTATATATATTTAAGCTCACAAATAAAATATATATAGTTATGTGTAAGAGGATTATATATATTTAAGCTCACACATAAAATGCATATAATTATGTGTAAGAGGGTTACGTGTAAGAGAATTATATATATTTAAACTCTAAAATGTATATAGTTATATATCTATTACACATCTTACATCAATTAGATAGATTAAAAATAAAATTAATTTATTATTATTATTATTATATATATTGTTTTTTTAAAATTGAATTATGATTAAAATCTCATCTTCATAAATTAAAGTCCAACAAGAAAAAGAAATCCCGAGCAGAAAAGAAATGTGTATATATTACATCATATAACTTATTAAGTGACTTCTATGTCGTCATTGTTATATAGCTTACCCTTACATAAACCCCAAATGCAGGCAAAATTTGGAATTGCCTATAAAAGCTTCGTGCCTATGTATGTCTTAATCACATTGAATAATCATCAGCCCAAAAATTAGAATCAAAAGAAGGAAATTAAATGAAAGGAAAACAACATGTAATGCTACAGAATGAAGTTGTTTACTGATCCACTTCACTACTTGGGTCGTGGTTTGATCCCTTGCAGCAGCAGCAGATAATAATATGTAAGAAGATGAAAATGCAATGGTTGTCCTATTCTGTGTCCCTAAAGCTCTCACTAGTCAGCCACAGTTTCTTCTGGATTATAAAAACAACTTCATCACCATCCTGAACAGAGTCAATTGCTTCCCAGTGCAAAGCACTTAGGTACTTCTTTACAAAATCAATCACTGCCTGTTTATCCCGGATGATCACGAAACCAGTGGGCCGAAGCACACGATCCATCTCAATTAATAGATCCTCAAGACTGCAACCTCTCTTTTCTACGTCAGAGAAGATACTCCATGCATGAAGTAAATCATAGGTTCTGGGGTATGTTGAGAATGCTTCACACCTGTTTAAGATTACCACATCAAAACTCTTGCTTATTCATCAGTAGTTAACAGGTTAGAAAACGAAATGAATACGCAGAAATTTGTCAAAGAAGCAACAAATATGTAAGCAATCTAGCTTCAATACCAGTCATGAGTAGATCCTATGAGACCTCTGTCATATATGAGCTTAAGTGTATTGACTCCATCATGGGGCACAACATTCATAACCCAAACATTCTTGTCTATAAGAGCTGCCGCAAATGAACCCATGTATGCTTTCATATCCATAATATTCCTCAACGTGTTTGATGCAATTTTTGGACTCAAAAGATCCCAGTACTTCGCAACTCTCCTTTGCCATAGTTCCTGCAGATGACCAAATTTAAGCCAACAATTGATTTATCTAAAATAATATCGCTGTACTATAAAGATAGTTATGATCATTAACAAGAAGATCAAATATAATTCTGATTACCGTATCCTTTTCAAACATTTCATTTGAATAGCCAAAGTCAGATAGTCTAGGAGGAGGTGTAGTCAATCTGGCAGGCCATGCGGCTAAACCACTACCCTCGGCTCTGTTGTCATCTGATAAAATAAACAATGCTGGAATTTTTCAGTTTACTGACGTAGAATCTGGGGATGCATGGCACTAAAGTAGCAACTAAGAATTGATACTTGAAAGGAAATCACTAGAATCCATGGAATGCAAAATCCATCAAATAACACAGAAAAGACTACTCACGCTCACTGTAACGTGTTATGCATGCTTCCATATTTACTCCCCAAACTGCATCTGGGTCATCATCAGACTGGCAAAGAGGAGGGTGAGCATCAGGTCCTCTTTCCATATAGCAGTCGTTAGTCCCATGTTTTTGCCAGACAACAGTTTGGTTCCTCTTTGCTGCTATTTTCCAACACATACGCTCCACAAGCTCACTCATTTCTTTCCATATCTTGAGATTCTCTTCATCCTGGGCATATGCCTCGGGAGATGAGTATGCAAAATAACCTCCTGGTCGGAGCAATCGGTCTAGTTCAAGAAGTAGTATTCCATCTCTTTGAAGCCAATCAATTCGACAGCGAGAACAATGAACAAGCTCAAAAGATCGGCTGGGGTAAGGGAGTCTTTTTGTTCCAAGGATACCAAGATATGCAGGAATTCCTCTTTCTAGGGCAAATTGAATTTGATTCTGATGCACATCATTTGGTGCCAAGGACATTGCAATGATATCGGATGATAGAAGATATCCTCCAAAACTTGCAACACCGCAGCCAACATCAAGCACTGTCCGTAATCTTCCTTCATTGTTTAGATTATTGTTTGAAAAGTTAAGCATCTGGCAAAGTAAACTGGAATTTTCAGATAATGATTTATGTGTCAAATGCAAGCAAATCTAGATAAACAGAATTTACCAGACAACTAGCACTGTTAAGCCTGGTACTTGTAGCATAATAACTGAATTTTTACAGGCAGAACCATTAAAGTCGACAACTAGCATTGTAAAGCCTGGTACTTGTAAGCATAATAACTGAGGCAGAACCATTAAAGTCGACAACTAGCACTGTTAAGCCTGGTACTTGTAAGCATAATAACTGATTTTTTACAGGCAGAACCATTAAAGTCGACAACTAGCACTGTTAAGCCTGGTACTTGTAAGCATAATAACTGATTTTTTACAGGCAGAACCATTAAAGTCGGATGCAGACTTACATTTGCAATTGATGCAATGTATTTATCAGCTCCATAGTGAAAATGAGTTCCACCTCCAGGGAACATTATTTTGTCACCTTTTTCAACCATCCAATTCTGGTCAGACTTCTCATGTGCCAGGTGAGTGTGTGGGATATTTGCTTTCCACACCTCATCTCTGCTCTGTGGCCACTTAATAGGGACCTGCAACATTATAGAAACAGCAAATGTTGGAGTGGAACAATACATGTCTATCAGAGGATATGTTAGAAATAACATCTATTCAAACTAATCTTCACCTTGTATCCTGATGGAGGAGGGATTAAGCAATTGTAACGCCTTTCTGCAGGTGGACAATGTCTCTCATAGTGCTCCATTACAGACAGGTCCAACTTCATCCTCATTTGATAGATGAGGTGTCTATCTAGGCATGGAATCAACTCCGAATGACGATCATCACAATTCTTCAAAAGCATAAACATCATAAACACTGTGAGATTTATGAAGAGCCAGAAGTAAATTTAAATGGTGTACATGAACTTGATTGTTTCCACTTATTTATCTATGAAAGTATAACTTATTTTCATTATGTAAACAAGAAACTTGTTGCTTGATTGGGATGTTATTGTGGATGTGGACAAGAAACTAGTTTTCTTCAGCTTTTACTTTTCCATTTATGATACATTTTAAGCCTCTTACGTAACATGTTATATTTATCAAAACTTATCCAACTCTCAAGCGTAGACTTCCGAGTTTAGCAACCGAAATTCAAATAAAACAGTATATAAGAGAGTTCATAATACTAATACCACTGATTAAACCAAATAGCAATAGCAAAAACAAAAAATTAGAGATGTTACATTAAGCATGAATGATAGCAATAGCAATAAAATGGATGTTGCATGAAGCCATTGAGAAAGAATGTATGCGCCCTATGTCTAAGCTTACAAATCAACATACAGGGAAACTCTTTGAGAAAATATTTGCCTCCCCTTCTCCCTGCTTGAAGCTTGCCGAAGATTCATCTCGATTGCCATCATTGTCATCCTCTGCACCTAAATATGATGAGCCAAGTCTTTTCAATGATCTTCCATATTCAAGAGCAGATGACCCACTATTCTGAGAACCAAAGATGGATCCGCCATACACATACAGAAAACCAAGAAAAAATGCCACAAAAAAGAGGAAAGCAACTGTATGCTTTTGTTGCAATCCATCAGATCTCCCCCTCGGCATTTATTAGTTGAAAGTATAAATCCAAACTGCAACTTTCACTGTTCAGTTACGGTCTAAAAAAATCTTGATTTGCCAGACATTCAATGTCAAATTACCGACTTGAAACCCCCGTTAAGGTAGCAATCTTAGTTCCTCAAATCATAAACAAGACAAACAGTTTCCTCGTAGTACACTGACTAAATGATTGACCTGCAAACAAGGGAAGATCAATTATCAAACGAGATACAGAAATTCATTTGTTGTCGTTGTTTTACTTTTGATTTAATCATAGTGCTTAAAGGAATAAAGAATATTATACCATAATCGCAGACCATTATTACACTTTTTCATCATGAAAACATCTAAACTGTACTAAGGAAAACCAATTGAAATACAAAATCCAATTTCAAACATCTTTATGACAACAGATCCGTGTAAGGAACCTTAAAATAGCTCTATAGCCTTGTGGGATGAAGTTCAATGAGAAATGTAAACAAGGAACAACCAGCAAAGAAAGATTTTCACAGCACCAAGGACATTCATAAACAAAATATAAAGGATAATAGCAATCAATTGGCCTAGCGCAGGCAGCCCGGACAAACCTACCCTGGCCAATGAGAAATAACCAAATACAAGAAAATCTATTGATTGTTAAGATATTGTCAAACATGTACAATCCTAGAGTGTGTCTCAAGCAATTGTAATTTAGTCCAACAATAAGTTACGACTCAATTCACAAGATTCACTCCTAGTTTTCAGCAATTTTTTTTGGATAAAACATACCAATGAAGAAGATTATTAAAAAAAGAAAAATAAATAAATGAAATTGAAGAGAGCCGTTATGCTTGCTATTGAAGTGACAGCAGACCAGTGAAAACAATGGATCCGAATCACCCCTTAAAAGAAACATGATCTAAGGTGACAACTTATAAGTAAACAAATTCTTTTACATGTATATGATTCAGACTTAGATGGACTTGAATCGAGCAACATGAACTATCTCAATGACAAACACTTTCCTACAGTTAAACTGAACTTTCAGATCTAGCCCAATACAAAACAATAATCACTAGCACTAAAACGTGTAATACTTATTAACAACACCAAATCACATAAGAGAGTCGAAGGTACATTCAGTAGGCCACGACTATGACCAACGGCAGTAAAACATACCAGATCCATCATAACCGCCATGCCACACCACACACAGGCAAAACAAACTTAACAGAAGTAGCATTACATAAAGAAAAGCTTACTGGGTTCTGATCAAAATCCAATTGGGTGCAAGAAAGTGAAATCAAAATCCCAACTTCGTCCCCGAAAAATAATTCTATAAGAAGATAAGTAGAAATAAGTAAGAAGAAAAGGAAGAGGAAGATGAGATCTGGGTGAATGTCTGAAGTTTGTTATGTGCGTGTGTGGCAGTGGAGCAGTTCAAAGAACATCTTAAGAAGGGGAGTTAATTTTGTTAAAATAATAGTAGTGTTGGAACCTGAAAGAGTTGCAGACAGCAAATTGACCGTGGTGGCAAGACTTTTGTGGTATACCATATGATGTGGGTCGGATAGATTACCACTGAGATTCCATTTGGACCAACTAAGTGGGTTTGCACTTAACATGTAAACAATCATGTCACGCCATGGCACACGGTACTACAGCCTTTTTACAACTCTTCTGCCAGTCGGTGCTGTCTATTCTATGCAATAACTTCAAAATAAAGGTCAAATTAAAATGGTTCTTTTGAAAAAAAAAGGTGAAATAAAAAATAACACCTTATCTTCTTCACCCATGAGAAGTTGAAAGAAATAATAAAGGTTACTGCTGATGAAGTTAAACGAGAGTGAATTTGGGATGGTATTGTATGAAATTTGAAGGTGGGACTGTTTGCGAAATCCCTTCCTCGGCTTATTACGAAGACATGTTCTACCCAAATTTAGTAATGTGTGGACAAATTGTACTTCACTTTCCGTTCATATTTGTTTTTTTAATCTTAGAATTTAAAAATTCATAGTTTTGATATTTTTTTTAATTCGATTAAACTCTAAAAAAATATATACTAATTCAAAGTACCTATAAGAAATAACTAATTAATTTAAATTAAAAGCAAACAAAAATTATAATATCTAAAATAAAATATTATATACTAATATCATAAATTTGGTAAAATCTAAAACCTGGGACCAAAGAATAAATGAAGAAATCAAAATTTGAAATAAAACTAAATAATAAATTAATCTATACCTAAATATAAATACAAAGGAATTTTTTTCCTGTAATATACTATTTCACATCCTTATTACCATCACTACATCCACTTATATTTTATTTTCTAAACTAGACCCTTTTATTCTTGACATAGTTTTTTATTTTTCATTTGAAAATATATCTTTTTCTATTCTTAAAAATGTATAAAAATTAATATTTAAAACTATGGAAATGTAGAAATTTTGTTAAGAATTTTTTAATTATAAAATATAAAAATAGAAATTTAAAAATATAATAAAATATATAAAAAATTTAATTAAAATTTATAAAATATAAAAAGTAATAAAATTTATTGAAAAAAAATTATTTAGAAAAAAAATATAAAATAGAAGTTAGTACTTTTATATTATTTTTAAAAAAATTTAAAAAGTTTGAGTATTATAATTTTTTTTCTTTTTTTAAAAAAATTAAAATAAAAAAAATCATTTTAAAATCTCATTCAAAAAATTTGGTTCCTTAATAATTATCATAGCTCGATATTCATATTATATCTGGATGAGTCAACTCTAAGTTTGTAATATGTTTAAGATGAATGTTTTATTATGTATATAATATAATATAAGATGAAATTTTATTTGATTATAATGAACTGTTTTAGCACTAGCTTATTCTTATTTTTGTGTTGTGTGTGTTATTTTTCTCTGCAATGATTATCTAAATAGTATGAGTTTGCTTAGGGAGATTTCTTTTTAGTTATTGTAGCAAGAAATGAGAGTGAAGCACATGAGTTATTAGATAATCCTAAATATTGATCTCTAGCGTTTTGTGATAGGTTTTTCATCTAGTTGTCCTATTATTATATATGTAATATTTTATTTTAATAGTTTTATATTATTAAAATGGAATGTTACAATAAGTGTCATTTAACATTTACATTTTTTATATTTTAAATAATTACAAGTTTAAAGTAAGTCTTTTTTTTAAATTAAAAATGTGAAAAATATATACTCTTATATTTTAAAATTCTTATTAAGAATGTAATGTATATATTATCCTTTTTAAAAAGTTATAAATATTTATCAGAGGACTATAAATATATTATTTGTATGTATATTTCTTAAAAAACTACAAATATGTTTTTTATAAAATAAAATTCAATTAGCTAATTTTCTATTTATAATTCAAATTTTTTAATAATAAAATAATCAAGTTTCATTTAGAAAAACTACTCTTATCTATTTTTTTTCTTATTGTTACATTAATCAAATTTAATAAGTACATGGAGTTTTTATAAGAAGTAATTTTACCTTGACTCATTCCTGAGAAATTTGATAACTAATCATAAAATAAAATATTTATTATATCAATATTTTTTATTTATTGACCCTATGTATTTGATGTATAAATAAAAATTAATATAATGAATATTGTACTTTATTTTTTATTAAAATTTATTTTTAATTTAATACATATTTGGAGGAAAAGTCTTGATAAATATCCACATGAAAGAAAAAATAAGAAGAAAAACATAAAAAAAAAAAAAATCAGCATATGCATGAGTCAAAAATTAGATTTTGAAAATGTTAGTATTACAAATCAGTTCATCCTAAGTTAGATTTAGTTTATGAAGAAGTTAATTTAATTTTTTCTATTATTTCTCTCTAAAAAATGTTTTTGAGGAGTTTCTTCCAACACGCTCGTAGTTAATTTTTTCTAATTAATAATAAATGTAATAACTATTCTTACAATGCATTAATTCGATTATTATTAATGCAGTAATAAATTTTAAATATATTAATTTATGCATTTAATGTGTACAAACAATCTCGTTTATAAAAAGAAAAAAGATGAATGTGAGCATATCAAGAGTGTTCATTTTGGTTTGTAAGAATTGTTGTGTTAAATCATGTCCATGAATACCCAAAACATTCTTAACATCGCTCATCGCCTGATTGCTTCCAACTCTGGAGAAGATCCTAACCAAAACAACAAAAATGGTTTTAGATGTTTAATTTGCAACCTTGTCTTTCTTACCTTTCAAGCACTCATAATGCATGTTGAGTCTCATTTATCTCTTGAAGACCCTGCTATAAGAGCTCTATATTCACCAAATCAGGTGAACTCTCGAAGGGAAGTGATTCCAAACCCTTTACACCCAAACTTTTCTAGATTAATGGTCATGCAGGAAACTAATGTCTTTGTCAACAATAGGGTTTTTCAGCCACCACTTGAACAACCAATGGTGATGCAGGAACCTCAATTTTCTGTTAACAACAGGCTTTTTCATGCACAACCAGAACAACCTAGGATGATACCTCCATCTAGAGCAACCTATGTTACCCAAGGTGGGGCTGCTGCTTCTCGATCACTCCAAGGTTCACCATATTCTATGTTACCTGCAAGTAGTGATGTTATTGAAGTGGCACAATTACTTCTTGATACAATCCATGAAAGGGAGATGGAGGTTTCTCCAATTGATGGAACTAAACCGTACATCAATCTATTGGATAAACCTATCAATGCTGAGAATTTCAATCAGGATATCATCAATGGTGAAGCACTGGATCTTGCTTTAAGGCTATAAATCTTCAAAGCATTGTTTATTTAGTATCATCTTGAATTATATATGATGGATGTACTGATGATCATGTGTTGAAGTCTTACCATTTGATTCTCATTTTTGCTTCATGTCTTATATACAAGAGATGAGAACAAATTATATGGAATAAAAGTGTTTATTTAAGATTTGAGTGTGATTTTCCTATTTTATCATTGAATCTTGATTTTCGTAACATTAAAGATTGAACCTATATTTGTAGTATCAATTGAGGTGTACTCAAATCAGGATCTCGATGATCTATAAATACATGGTATTTAAGATTTTGATCAAGACGGATCCAATTTTAAAATTCATTATTCCAAATTCACATAAATATATAAAAGATGAAAGATTTGTGAAGAATAAAAATATCAATTGAGATTTTTACGTACTCGAATATTTTATGAAGTATTTTCTTTTTCTATTATCAAATCTTGTTTTGCTCCTTTTACTCAAGTTTTTAAATTATGATTATAATGATTTAAAAATTTGGGTATGACAGATGAACTTGGTGTAAATAATTGACCACTCTTTAAATAAAAAGACGGTTAAACACAATACTTCGAGATTTTGGATTAAAAGTAGTGTCAATCCTTTATGGAGATTGACTTAAGTCATATATATATATAATCTCTCCTTAATGAATTCGTCTTTGATGAATAAAATCCATCAATGATATAAAAGTTTGGTTTGTCTTGGTGACCGTCTTAGACCGTAGTGGCAACAACAATAACAACACCACACACAAAAACAATGGTACAAGTAAGGTCACCATACACTTGAACAAAAATATACTATATGAAAGGAATTCAGATATTTTTAGAAATAATCCAAGTGTGAGTCTAAGTCTCACATTAAATAATAATAAAGTAAAACATCATATAAGAAAAATGACCTATAAACCTAATGTCTCTTGAGGTTTTAGGTTAAAAGTGATGCAATCCCTTGTGTAGATTGACTTCTGTCACATATATATAATCTTCCTAATGAATTTTCTATGACAAAATACTTATAAAAAAATCATAGATAAAAAAATTAATATGTTAACTAAAAATAACAAATAAAATCACGCATCATAAAATATGTGACAAAAAAACTTTATTTTGTCACTAACACACAAAAGTCACATTATCGCAAACTCCTTAATAATAATAATAATTACATTAAATAAAATCATTTTTCGTCACAAAATTTAATGGGATGATGCATCACACATTATGACAAAATGATTCAATTAATTTAATGAATCATATATTGCTTGAAGCATACTAATTATCATTCAATGCGAGATAATGATGATATTACTTAAAAACAATAACTCATACTTTAATTCATGAGAAACCGTCTCATTTAAATGTTGTTGATTACAGTGAAATTTTAATGATTTAAAGTTGTAATAATGAGTAACGCATAAGAGTTAGTTTTTTATTTTTAATGATTTAAAGTTGTAATAATGAGTAACGCATAAGAGTTAGTAGTTTAGAATGACATAAATACGCGTTAAGTGTTAGGTAACGCATAAGAGTTGGTAGTTTAGAATGACGTAAATACGCGTTAAGTGTTAAATAACGCATAAGAGTTGGTAGTTTAGAATGACGTAAATACGCGTTAAGTGTTAAATAACGCATAAGAGTTGGTAGTTTATAATGACGTAAATACGCGTTAAGGGTTAAGTAACGTAAACACATTTTAAGTAAAATTGTAGATTTGTCAACATTTCAATAAATCTATGTGCATTTGGATTAGATTTTCCTCGTAAGTCTCAAAATCATATTGTTGAAGACATAAGTTAATTATTTTATTTGACAATATTCATCACTAATAATTCATAATTGTAAATCACTTCTTGTTCACTAAAAATAATGTAATAGGACCTC